GGGGTGTTAGGGGTCATTGATGATGATGATGTTATGGGCTTGGGACACGCAGCACTGGGATGAAATGTCATTTATGGAGGGAAGAGGAGCCCCGGTGATCTTCTCTGCAGTTCTTACTGCTCTCCTCACTTTCTTCCAGTCTGAAGCGCTGCAGCCTCCACACCACACAGTGAGACAGCTGGTCAGAATGCTCTCTATGGTGCTTCTGTAGAAGATGGTGAGGATGGGTGGGGGCAGGGGGGCTCTCCTCATCCTCTGCAGGAAGTACATGCGCTTCCATGCCCTTTTGACCAGTGAGGTGGTGTTTACATTCCAGGTGAGGGTGTCGGTGATGTGCACTCCCAGGAATTTGGTTTTGCTGACCACCTCTACATTTAAGCAGAGTGTGGTTATGAAGTCCAACATGACCTCCTTCGTCTTCTCCACGTTCAGGATCAGGCTGTCATCTTTGCACCAGTCCACCAGCTGCTCCACCTCCTCTCTGTAGTCCAGGTCTTTGTCGTCTCTGATGAGGCCAACCACCGCGGTGTCGGCTGCAAACCTCACGATGTGATTGGTGGTGAGCCTGGGGATGCAGTCATGTGTCATCAGGGTGAACAGCAGGGGGCTCAAGACGCAGCCCTGAGGGGAGCCAGTGCTTAGACTGATTACATCAGAGGTGTTCTGTCCGACCCGGACTGACTGAGGTCTGTTGGTGAGGAATTCTAGCAGCCAGATGCAGAGGGTTGTATTGAATCCCAGATGTTCCAGTTTGCCCATCAGATGCTGTGGGATGATGGTGTTGAAGATGAACTGAAGTCCAGGAACAGCATCTGCATGTGGGTGTTCTTCTCCTCCAGGTGTGCCAGGCTCAGGTGGAGAGCAGAGGAGACGGTGTCCTCAGCGGAGCGGTTCCGTTGATAGGCGTACTGGAAGGGGTCGAATGTCCGGGGAAGACTGGAGATGATGTGTTCTTTAAACAGCCTTTAAAAGCACTTCATTATGATTAGAGTTAGTGCCCCAGGGCAAGTAATCATTTAGTGAGGTGACCTGAGGCTTCTTTGGGACTGGAACATTGGTGGCAGACTTAAAGCATGCTGGCACCGCACCATAGATTGATCCAGTGAGGTGTTAAAAATGTCTGTGAGGACACCAGCCACCTGACCTGCACACTCCATTTACACCTGTGTGAAAAATCCTTCCCTCAGTTAGTTCTGGTTGCCATTTCTGCCTGCTCTAGTGTTAGTCGACCTAAACTAAAGTAATCACAGCATAACAACCCAGTCTTAACACTCCAACACTGTTTACATTTGATAACTGCTGCACTTTATGGAATGGAAATGTTCATTTACTGTCTGAAAAGCAGGACAAAAGGAACTCTGCTCACTTAGTCCATATGTGTGCAGAGTTTACTGTTTGACCATGATTTGAGCTCAATTCACACTTTCATTTCTTGTCTTAACACACAGTCAGTTGGGCATGTATGACAGCCAATATGTCATTTGATTCACTGCGTCCCCAGGTTCAAAATTAGCATTTTGTTGACTTTTCTTGATAGTTTGATAGAATGAAAGATGGCAAACAGAAACAAATATTGATGTTCCGTTTTATTGCTAGAAATACTAGAATACTAGAAATACTAAAGTAAAACAATGGTACGTGTGTTTAAACACAAATTTCTTAAATCAGCAATTATAATCAAAAACCATTAGTAAGGCACATAAGCAATGACCTTTGACATCTCTTTTCTTTAAAAGCTAAACAATCAAAAAGATCTGAGTTCAGGCATTTTATTTATTTAACTTTTTAAACTGCAATGCCAATATTGTCTTTTTTATTAGTACTTTACTAATAACTTTGTGGCCCCAAAATTCATCCCTGCCCACCTCATTATGCATGCCGTTGATTTTAAGAGTTGGGAATTCTTAAAATGTAAAAATCAACTGATGTTATAGGTCTTCCTAAATTATGAGAAAAATTTATTTTCTGTCACGCTTTCTTCCTGTCTTTTAATATTCCAGGTGTCTGTCTTGTTCCTTCATCGTCCATTCTTATACCACTAGAACTCAAAGGAGGAATGTGAAGAATTGATCAAAACCCTCATTTAATCACATTTTGTAATTTATAATTTCAACACCTTTGGGTGAAAATGATCATAGCTCAATATCATTTGGTCTATTTTGCTGTTTTTACAACAATATAAAAAGGTCAAATTAATTATATTTATATTCCTAGTCCAAGTTTCATTTTAAAACAAAATCAAAATATAAACGTTTCCTTATAAAAAACTTCTAAAATCTTTTGACAACTTTTCTTGATCGTAGAGTAGAACACGTATAAAACAAAGAAAACAGGAGGCGATCAATATAAAACAAATGTTTTTCTTTATTGGTAGAATTATTAAACAATGACAATACAACACATACAGTAGCACTGGATTTAGCAGTTACAATCACAAAACACAATAAGTTGAGGCAAGAAAGGGTAGGGACAGAAAATGACCTTTACCCTCTATTTTCTGCTCAAATTTAATCCTTCTTTATTATATTTGATTAACAATCAATAAAACCAGAGTGCACACAAACACACATACAAAGGATATAGTGTTATTTCAGTACATTTTGAAATGCACACTGAAAGCGTACCCAAAATTTCTATAAAGTCTAATGCAAGTTTAAAAACATACAATTACTTGAAAATTATAACAACAAAGAAAAGAGCTTGATGAAGTGTCATGTCTTTGTCAACTCTTATGGTCTGGATAACATTGACACTCACTGTACTGTAACTGAGCTGCCATTAAATGAAGGATTCACGCTGGCTGTTATGCCATAGTTTTATTAGTGATTGAAAGTTCACCCAAAGTCTCAGACATTAACAGGCTCTGAAGGAAAACAACCAAGCTTCTCTTCCAATTTATCATTTTAGAAAGAAAGGGGCGCAGGCGAGAGATGGTTTGAAATGCAAGGAAAGCAGTTGAGCAAGCCCAAGCTAATCGAGTGTACACTGTTATTTATAATATCTTACTATTGAAAGAGTATTACTTTACCACTATTGTATGATTATTAAAAATCAAAAAGCATTAAAGAAACTAAAGATGCTCAGAAAGATGTCTGAGTTATTTTCTAAAGTAACGTTATAGGGTCAAAACTAGTGTGACAATTACAGGTAACCTTACTGGAAAAGAAAGTGGAGAGAGCCTGAAGCTGCACACAGCAGGTGAACTGTTAGCTATAGCTAGTTTTCATAGGAGACCAGAATAAACATTGCCAATCAAATCAATAATAACAAGATCTACCATCAGGGATCCAACCTTAGACAAAAATGAGTACATATGTTATTAAGAGCTTATACAGAATAGGCAGCTTTGACCAACTGTTCAATACATAACATATTTGATCACAATGCATATAAAAGGTTGGTAGTATGCAAAATAGGCTGTACAAAAAGATAAGTCAGTTTTAAAACAGTTAAACTTAGGGATCAACATGCTTATGTGAGCTTCATAAAATGACATAAAAAAACAGAAGATGACCCTGGAGCTATATAAAAAAGGGTAATGGTCACCTAATAATATAGTTTATTGAATTTATTTATATAAATCTGTATATGTCCAAAGGACAATACAGGACTGTGCATTTATGTTATTGATCCAGTCTAGTGTAATACTCAGAGAAAGCCACATGTCTGCTGTTTATTAATGATAGGTGACTGATTGACTGGATTATCAGTAAATAAACAGCTTAAAACAAATGAACATACAGGGTCAGAAGCATGAACTAGTGCTAATTAAAGCTACAGTGTGTAATTTTCAGCGACATCTAACGTCCAGACTGCAGACCGCAGCAATATGAACATCTCCCCCCCACCGCTTCTCCCCCCCAACAGTACGGTGAGCGTTACGGGACAAAATGTCTTCCACGACGTCCGCATCACCTACCTTCTCAAGTGATGAGATTTGTTTACATAGATAATTTTACAGATAGTATTTATTAGTATCTATAGTAGTATTTAGTATCTATTGTTCAGTACCGTCTCAGTTCATCTCTCTCAACTTGCCGTAGTTACTTTCGAGCGTAATGGGCGATCTCGCAATCGCTAGTTTGTTGGCTCTGCGCTGCCGTAGCGCAAAGATGTCTGCCTCCATGGCTGCGAGACCCGCTCCTATGTAATTATAAATAACGAATTCTAAGGCAACGCAAATATTAAGGTTAAGAGGCTGAGCTCGTAGATGATGATAAATAACATAGTTATGTATAATATATTACATTTCTGACTGTATATCCCTGTAATTATTACACACTGTAGCTTTAAGGATTTATAAAATAAACTGATTTACCTTTCCTATAAGCAAAAAGTTTTTCCTCTGTCTCGATTCAATAGCTCTTAGTTTTCTTTAATGTTAAATTTATTATTCACACGGGGGAGTGTTGACCTAGTGGTTAGAGCAGTGCGCTTGTGCATTGAGGATGAAAGTACCCAAATCGATCTCCAAAGCCTGCACTCTGGGTCTCTGAGCAAGACTCTTAACCCCACACTGCTGAGGTAAATTTCTCCAGTGTGAGATCAATAAAGTTAAATTATTATTATCAAACTAAGATGTTATAAGACTTTTACTGTTGATCGAAAAACCTATCTTATTATGAAACACCACTGATGATAACCAGAATAAGATAGTTTTAACGTTCTGATGATGAACAATTTGTTTTATCAATAAATGTTATCTGTCCATCTTGTGAGTAAAGTGGACCTTATTTCAGATCAGCTTCACCTGAGCAGAAGAATTTAATTGACTAATTCTGCTTAGGTTTGGACCTTTAAGTGTTAACCTAGTGTTTTTCTAAACTTTACCCTATTTTTCTAAGGCACAGTGTTTATTTATCACATAAAATGTCTTAAAAAACAAACGTAATTTGTTAAACAAACACAATTTGTTTAACAAACAGCAAAATTGTTGCAAATCCCAAATTATCCCCCAATTGTTAAATTCTCATGCTGGACTTAAATGTGAGCAGGACCACTTAGCTTTCTCCGTCTAAATTCTCAATCTTAGGTAACTGATCCTGCTCAGGATTAATTCCTCCCTCATTGGAAGCCCTGTTACTTGGCTGATCCTGCTGAGTATTCGTTTTGTCATTGGGAGCACTGTTATTTGGCTGATCCTGCTNAGTATTCGTTTTGTCATTGGGAGCACTGTTATTTGGCTGATCCTGCTCAGGTCTCTGTATTATCTCCATAGATGCTATGTCTCCTTTCCCAGGGTTAAAAAGTGGGAACACTTCCCCTGAAAATTTGGTTCTCAGAGATCCAATCAGACATTTTTCTTCCACATTATAAAAGGAGAGCTCTCCATTGTCATAGTCCAAATCAACACCGACTGTTTTTAATCTTGACTGGACAGGAACATTTATCTGTGTTTCACTGTTAAACTGAACATTATTTTCTTTATCAGGACAAGAAGAAAGGAACCAGAAACCATGGATGGATAAAGGAAAACTTTGATCTTTAGGGATTTCTTGTTTATCTGTAACTCCGATCCACCAGGACTTCTTAAGTGGCATTGTTGCATTTAAATTTGATAAGGGTACTAAGGAAACCTCCCAGTAGTGTCGTCCAGAAGAGAAGCCAGGTGATCCTCTGACTGCTGTGAGACAGGTAACTCTGTCTCCATCTGGAAACTCTACTTGATTATCTCTCAATAAAGAACGGCTCATTTTAATCAGCGGGTTTCCTGTGTCCACCAGTTGAACATTCACTGTAAAAGATAAGAAATTAGATCATAGTCAATATAATCATAAAGAAAATGTTAAAATGGAATAATACTAAATGTAAATTTACCATAGTGTTTGGAAGCCTCTGATAGAGCAGTTGGCAGAAAATCTAGAGGAGAAAACATCATATAAATGTAATATGTATAAAGGTTGTCTCTGGCAGCTTGATATGCTGTGTTCTTACCTTTAGACAAAAGGGGTTCATTTTCTGTGGAGACAAAAAAGCATTTTAGATTTTTTTTAAATCCTGAATATGAGAACTTTGAAAAGATCTATATCTACAGGGAAATTTCTAATTAGTTACTCAAATAAGTTTTACTGTCATTTTATATAAGTTGATGCTTCAAACATGCCCCCAATGAAACCTATACCAGGGGTCGGCAACCTGCGGCTCTGGAGCTGCATGCGGCTCTTTAGCCTCCCCCTTGTGGCTCCCTGGAGCTTTTTCAAAAATTTATGAAAATCGATTTTTTAAAATTTTTTTTTTTATATGGTGTGCAGGTTGCAAACAAAAATTAATGTTTTCCAATGCTTTAAACATTTGTATTCAAAATAAATTTAAACAATAATTTGCGTCAAACCCATAGAGATCAGTGATCATAACTTGGAACCAGTGTGGCGCGGTGCCAGGCAAACAAAGCTGCAGCTGTGTCTCGGAATATGAATCCCAAAGGGGAAAAAAAGGAATATAGCTGATGAGAAAAGAGGATTCAAATAGGCCAACTCATTTGCTTTCATTATCAATGCTGAACGATTGCCTGCATTTTCGCTTGGTAATGAGAGGTTGTCAAGAAATAAAAATAAAAATTTGGAAAGGCATTTCCAGGGAAGGCTAAATCTGCAGCCCACCACCAAGCTGGGAGTGAGAGAAAAAGTGCAATGGAAGGATAAATTAGAGGAGCGCAAAGATATATTTAAGAAGTGGATTGCATCTCCAAACTCCACTACTGCTGCTAGTTTTGTTGCAAGGATGTAAAACCAGCCGCAGATCAAACAAGCAGCGCTTTGATGCAGGTATCTGAACTTTCTTCCATTTTTTCTCCAAATCCTAAAAATAATAATCAGACCAAGGAACGATGGTGACGGAGGATGTGGGATTTCGGGGTTAGAGAGCTCTGCTCTGATGTCAGTTCCTGCTTGGTTCCTCATGACTCAATAAACTTCTCCCAACAGAAACACGTCCACCATAGAAAGATTTCTTTATTGTGTTTCTATAATTTCATCATTGCAAGAAAACTTAAACCGCGCTGTGAAGGTGGTGAAGCGGCGCTCGGTGAAGCTGTGCGCGATGGGAGCGTTCACTGTTCCTCCGTCACCTCATGCTACTATGTGACATTTGCTTCAGGATAAACTTTTAATCATGAATGCTTATTATATATTAAACCCATATAGTCCTTTTCTATAGTGGGATAATACACTTAGAGCCCGTGTTGGTATACAAGGATTATATAAGGCTTTTACATTTTTGCGGCTCCAGACAGATTTTTTTTTTCTTTTTTTGGTCCAATATGGCTCTTTGAACAGTTTGGGTTGCCGACCCCTGCTCTAGAGAATTTAATACAACTAACTGTTCTTAAGTTAGATATGAATCATGCGTACCTTCAGGGCTGCTTGTGCGTTTTCCTCCTTGTAGAAGAGAAGACATTTTTTAATTAGCTTAAATTCTATTTGATTATTGAATCAATTTTACACATTAAATAAAGTTATAAAATGATAAGTAAGCAGGAAGGAAACTGTGAATAGGATTTTCTCTGGCTTTTTTTTTTTTTTTGAATTACCATTATTACCATTAATACCAGATGCATCCCAAGGGGATGGGTTAAATGCAGAGGTAAATTTCTCCAATGTGAGATCAAAAAAGTTAAATTATTATGGAGTGCCTGACTAATAGCTGCCTTATTGGCAGAACCTGATCCGTGAATTAATACTGTTGTTATTGGTTTTTGGTTCTCTCTTTGATGATTAATTGTATCATATAAAATGCTTCCCAAAAACAGACTGCAGTTGGAAGCTTTGATGTGATGAAACAGGAACAGGGGGTGCAAATATTTGTCTACTTTGTCTTAAAAATGTAAAAATGACTAAAACAAGACTACACATTTGCAGCATTAATATCAATACAAATAGCTGAAATGTGTAAAACGGCTGTTATCAAATATATTTAATTAGTTTGTGACTTTTACCATCAGTTGTGTCTGGTTTAGTCTTGTTAGCTGAAATAAAAATAATTTTCAACGTATGAAATTTATGTATGAAAATGTGTAAAACTGCTGTAAGTAAATACATTTAATGAGTTGGTTACGTTTCTTACCATCAGTTGTGTCATTTTCTGGTTTATTCTTTTTAGCTGAAACAAAATATTTTTCAATGTATGAAATAAGTAATTATCTAAATGTTAACTTATTGTAATGACTTTATCGTGGCATCTTCTCTGACTTAAATCAAACATGTACCTTTGTTTCTGAAGTACAGTGCTCCACCAGCAGCTAATACAGCTGCTAGAAGTATCCCAAAGGCCACCCATCCAGCTGGGGAGCATCCGGACTCTGGGAGAAAAGAAAACATGTTTAATAGAAATATTTCTTAATGAAAACTAAGAAAGAAAACAAAACAGAGATAAGGGGTACCTTCTTGTGGAGACGGTGAATATTTTATGTGCATTCTGGCCTCCTTTGGCATTTCATTGGGAAGCCCAACAAAACAGGAGACCTTAGACATACTGGGGAGGAGGAGCCAACTGTGGACTGAATAAACCCCTTCAGAGGTTTTGTCAAACAGCACATCACCAGGAGTGAGAGCTTCTTTCCCATCTGACCAGTGCAGCTCAGGCTTTGGATACCAGCCTTCAGATTCACAGCTTATATTAACTTTATCGTCTTTAATCACTGTAGAAAGGAGAGGATGACCTCCAGTTTCTGGAATAGAAAGATCATCATTTCATGTAGAATTTGTTCTGTTTGATCTTTTGCCTCATGTTATTTTCATTGTTCTCACCTGTCACTGTCAGACTAACAGCAGCACTGTCATAATCCTCAGTGCTGCTGAGATAGCAAGTGTAGGTTCCTGTGTCTTTAATCGTGGTGTTTTCCAGCTTCAGGCTGACATCACCTGACTTTAACCCTCCTGATGTTCCTTCCTTTAAGCCAAATGAGACTCGGCCAGCGTATGAAGCTTTCTGGGATGTGTGGTCAAAAGCTTTTCCCTTATAAAGCATGACTGGAGTATCAAATCCATCACTCCCCAAATACCAGCGTACCTCTAGATCTTCTGCACTCTGAGAGGAACTGTGCCAGCAGGGTAAGATGGCTGTATGGCCTCGCTGGACTGAGATAGGAGACCTCACTGAAACAGTGAAAGTCTCTGAAACTAAAAAAAGAAAGCTCAATCAGTCAACTTTTCATTTATTAAACCAAATATTGTGTTTCAAAGTAAAGTTGTCCCTTAATATCATATCTGCCTTGTGTTTTTTTGAGTAAACTGTATGCCAGGTAGTAAATTCAGTTCCTAATGATAAGGAAACCCGTGGTTCATGGCTAGCAAAAAATAAAAAAATATATGCAAACAGCAAAATATTCTTCTTTAATTGATGACATTTATTAACTCTTAATTAAAATCATTAATTTGTTTTTTGTTTATTTGCGGTTTAAATATGTTTTTTATTTCATTGCTGGTAACAAAAGAGCACATATAGAATCAGAATCAACTTTTGTAAAGTTTGTGCAAACAAAGAATTTGACTTTGGTTCCACTTTACCCTCAGCAGAGGTGGACAGTAGTTAGTTACAAAAACAACCAAGTACTTTGAAGAGTAGTTGTACTGCATTGTGTTTTTTACTAGAGTTATTATTAGAAATATTGCTTTTACTTGAGTAAAATCTTGTGTCAAGCCACAAAATGTGTCATCTTGTAATGGTGGTAATTATCTGAATAGGTTGTTTTTCCAAGTCTTAAAAATAGCTAAACTTGTACAGAACCAAATATTTATTGTCTGCCTGATTCCATATTTCTGAAATGTGATAATTAGTTAATTACCCCCCAAAATTTTTCTATTTTTAATTGCATTGGATTGTAAAGTTTCACTAAAATATGTCAATATAGTGTGCTACTCCTATTTAAGTAAAATTTCCTGCGTACTCTTCACCTCAGAATATGAACATTTGAAACATATTTGTATGAATTTCTGATGGAAATTAAGTTTTCTTTTTGTAAATATGTACACATTTCTACAAAAGAATAAGAACAGGTTTAACCCTTTATAGGATACTCAGTGTAATACTTTGAAAATCAAAATTTCAAGCCAATAGTTTTATTGTAATCCCGGACAAGACCTCATTACATTTGTAACATCCAAAAAATATGGATATTTTGATGCTAGAAATGAACAAACAAGAAACCCCAACTCGCCCGATTATATAAAAATAAAAAAGGTGCTTCTATAAGAAATTCATGAAAAACACTCAGAGAGTGAAAGAAACACATTTGTTTTGGAACAACATAACCTTAGGGGCATAATGCTGATACTGGCACTTACATTTTTTTATTTATATATATACACAATGTTTATACATACATTCATATTTTATAAATGAAAAATGTATATATAAATATAATTGAATATAAATTATAATATACATATACATTTTTAACTTAACTTTTTAACTTCAATTAGTTTTTTTTTCTTGACTTAACTTTTTTTTTTCCAACTCAATTTATAGTAAGTAATATATCATTTAAGGGCTCATCTAATTGGTCAAATGCCAAAATAAGATGTACAGCCATGTAGCAGCAGTATGTAAGGGTTTGTTCAAAATGTTTTTAAAGTAATATTTAAGAGGTATGTACAGATTATTATTTTCCTAAATTGTGATTTTCACCCAATGGAATAAATATAGACCCCTTAAATATAATGCAATATGTTTTTTTAGTAAAAGATAATGCTACTGCGATAATATGTATGTG